GGATTCCTGCCCCATCCCCAGGGGCTAGGGCGGGGCCCCAAAGGGAACATTTACCAATATTTTCAAATTCTTATCCTTTGATGACATGACAAGTATTGTATTTCACTTAGTTTACATGCTGATTTCCACATCACATCTAAACAATAAAATAAAGCTACCAGTACCTATGATATAACTCAGGTGACCGCTAAGGCCCTTGGGCCTCTTGTTATTATTTCCTATTTCTCTGATACTACAAGTCCCAGTCATCAAACTCTATACACAGGTATATCTTCAGGAGTACTGCATACCCATTTGACATTGAGGTCACTGTGACCTAAATTTTCTGCTTCACTGACTTTGGTTAGATTTTGCATTCAGCTCCATTCGTTTGGTTAGCTCCATTTCTAATAATTAATTACAACATTTAATAATAATATACAACATTTGATATAACGCCCTATCTAGCGTATATAAGCCACTCTAAAGTGCTTTACAGTACATAGATATCAAACTCATAATCAATACAAGTTTTGAGGAATTTGCAGGAGCTGCCTTATCAGGCATTAACTACTAGTCCTATGCCACCTAGCTAATATATCGCTATGTGTGTATGCTGGAGATGTATTATTTATGGCTTTAGTGGGACCGTGCTTCCAACGGTATCATTTATACTGCCACCTCACTTGAATGCTACAACACAGATACCGCAACATCCACCCCGGACCATTTTATACTCCACCTGGGTTGTTGGAGTTGCGTGGGCAGGAGAAAAACACTTTCTCTGAATAATCCATGCATACAACGACTTCAGTGATCAAACCTGGGCCACATGCATGAAAGACCGAAGTGTTAACCACTCAACCAATCTGCCCCCTTCTCTGATACTGCAAGTCTAATAGACATCAAAATATATATGCAGATATTTTTTAAGGAGTACTACACCATAATATGACATATAGGTCACTGTGGCCTATATTTTCCACTTCAGTGACTTTAATTAGGGTTCAGATTCCGCTCCATTTCTCTGATATAGCTATAATTAATACTAGAAGTTAATCTGTTTAGACATCTTCAGTAATAGTACACCAATATATCTCAAGTACTTATTACTTTCCATTTCACTGACTTCGGTTAGACTTTATATTAAGCTCCATAGCTTTGTTTTAATTTTGTATTAATTGCGATTTCCATCAAAGGAGGCCCATATATATGTTTATATTGTTTAACAAATAATTTCTGTATTGTGCAAAACAATGTATTGCTTTATAATATAAATTTGATATATAATTAAATGCGTGAGATTTTCAGAATCTACAGAAGAGTCTGGCATTACTTCCAACTGTGTATGAAGAAGAAATGAAATTATGCTATTCAATGCCTGACATAGTTTGGACTTTTTCCTCCTATGTATGTTTAGCCTTCAAATATAAGTAAAATAAATAATTTCAAACATTTCAGATACCCGACAAAAAGAGTGGACTTGCAAGACCAACACAAAGGCTTCAGCCTCCAAAAAGCATTCAGCCTCCAAAAAGCCATCTGGCTGTCAAAGCTATAGACACATCCAGCAGTACATCAATTGCTACAACAGGAAGTAAACCTCCCAGTTCCTCTTTGAAGCGATCTTTACAACCTCCTAAAACATTTACTAAAGATTCAGACATGTCCAATAATAATTCTGTCAATGCTTCAGCAAACAGAACAGTTAGTAATCCAAATCGTAGATCAATTCAACCCCTGAAAAGTTGTTTAGCTGTAAAAACTGACTCGTCCACAAATAGAAATACAAATTCAACATCGAATCGCAAATCATTGAATACAACCATCAGTATGACAGGGAGCCGCTCCATCACTCCAGCATCAGGCAAGGAGAGTAAGTTAAAGATTCCCGGTAGTAGTGGTACAAAACTGAACAGATCCTACACTATATCGGAGCCCAAGTCTACAAATGCATCTGAGGCTCCTGGAAGCAAGCGACCAGCATCAAAGCTTAGCTTACTACAACCAAGTCAGATTAAGAAAAAGACGATAGCTATGCCTAGCAACACCAAAGTGTCCAATGGGCCTGTCAAGGCAATGGCACCAGCTGGAATCCAGTCACGAACAGGTCTGTGTTAAAGGTTGATGGGAATCTAAGGTTGATGGGAATCTAAGGTTGATGGGAATCTAAGGTTGATTGGAATCTTATTGCCAATCGTTATACTATTTAAAACAGAAAAATCAGCTTATAAGGTATCAACTGATCTAGTTTGAAAGAAAATTGCTCGTAATAGTCAAATAAACTGCTCTTAATTAAGTCTTTGAGACATTCACCTCTACATTGTAGGTCAAAGGTCAATTAAGTAAAAAATAATTTGAAGTATACCTTTATCATCCGGAGGTGTGTAGGGAATAGTAACTAGGTTGTCATGTTTGCGATTATTCAAGTAGATTGAAAAGTTCAGTATCAGAAAAGGTATCTATGTCTGCCTTGCCAGGATGTGTCTATGTGTTATATATATTTGTGATTCCTTCCAGTGGAGAAAAAGCCCAGTGTCAGGTTAGGGTCCAGTTCCTCGGGACATGTTTCTATGTCCACACCAATCAAAGTACAAAAGAACGTCCAGCCCAAACTCCTGTCTAGTACATTTACTGCCACTCCTTCAACGTCAGGGTAGGTATCGCAACGTTTCTTAAAAGTGTTATTGTTTGGTTTCTGTTTTCATTTGTTATTTTACAAGATCTTTTCTGGGGGTTTTCGTAAATATCTGGAGTGTAGAAAACATTTTTGTTTTTAACAACAGATCTTTTACCTATCTTATATGTGATACCTAGATTTTGGTAAACCTAATAAGACAAAAATAACATAAAAATTATCATTGATTACTGCAGTTGTGAAAGTTAAAACACAGTTTCTTGTTCTTTAATTTGTTGTATTGACAATTCTTTTAATATATTTTTTCTCATTTTGAAAGTGTTCAGACATTGCTTTTTTATGGATTTGTTTATGAATTATATTTGACAACCTTCATGTTTATTACTGTTGGTGAGAAACATGCAGAATTTTTACAGTAGTTAGTTGGGTATAGATTTGAGACAAATAACTGTTGGAGTTATTGCGACTGGACTGGAATTCTTTGATAAACCTCAGACTCCTTACACACAATGGTGCATGTTAAAGTGGTACTGATGAGAAATACTGACTTGTCTGTAAGAATTCTGGCATGTGTTCTGTTACAGAAGCACTAGTAACTTTATGAGCAGTACGCCATCCTCGACCAGCAAACGACGGTCATGTCTACCAACACCCAACTCTTCCAGGACGAGTTCCATAAGCTCCATAAGCTCCATTCCTCCTCCCAGGTTTAATATTATACTATATTTTTTGCTAAATATGTATGTGACCCTCTGCACTAGTTTGGGGTTCAATAAATTTCGTGTTGGCCTTTTTACAGGTAAACCTGCAATATATACATATCTAGGATCTCTTGATTCTGAAAAACTTGTAATTTAGATACCGACACAAGGTCCAGATTAGTCCAAGGTGGTTTTATGACATTCCTTAGCTTTAATCGGGACTCCATAAGAAATGATAATGGAAGTTGAGGGAAACTTCCTTCCATTGAAGAATTTTTCAAAGTAATGAACTGTTTATGAGACTGAATGCTGAGCAGTTATATATGTATTCATTTTTTTTCTGTGCTAATTTTCTACCTATTGTGTAGAGTTTACTTTATCTTAACAATTCGGGAAGTTTCATTTTTGCAGCCAGCCTGAAAAAGTATAGGAAATAAGAATCTTGTAAACTTTTTGTCCCATTTCCACAGAGTTTTCGTAACTTAACCAAATACTTGTATGGTCAGGTTCTAATAAAATTGGTCAATATTAATAATATAGAAAGACAAAGGTTTAGTTTAAAGTTAAGCAAAATCTGCAAATAATAAATTTAGAAAACATGTACTACGTTTTGATTGGTGTCAGGTTTGCACACAATAACTTAAGAATTATGTTTAATATTGCATGATCGTAAGAGGCGACTAAATTTGGGACCTTATCTCTTTTCTCCTTCCTAAATAACTTTCTTCTTCCTAATGTCTCCCTTGACAATGCCTCACTTTTGGCCATTTGTTGAGCGTTCGCCCCAGTGAGGAAGGCTTTGGGTTCTGTCCCCTGGCCGAGACATACCAAAGTCTTTAAAAATGGTAGTTTATACTCCTGCTTAACGCTCAGCAAATTAGGAGTTGGACGACTGGTTCGCCCGTTGTCAGTATAATGTGACCGGGTGGGGCGTCCTGCTGAGTGTCTTCGGCAGGATGTTTCAGTGAGGTAGCACTATAAAGTCGGCATCAGTTCCGCGCTATCACAAGGAGACAAACACGAACATATCGCAGCCTCCCAAAATACACACACTAACACTACACGCATGCATCTTGCACACAGGGGAGGCCGTCCTTAAATGACCTTAGCTGTTAATAGGACGTTAAACAAAATCAAACAAACAAACAAAATAATACTGATATAACATGGTTGTTATATACAATATGCTAAGACATGACTCAGTTGAAATTTGGGCAAAATTTGCCAGGTATTTAGAAACGATCTCAGATGAATTGATTATGGGCAATGGCAGCCAATACCTATTTCTTTTTTGGCTTTGAAATACTGGCAAGGGGAAGCTATTCTTATACAATTAAGGTATTAAGGGATATATGACATATATTGAGTGTCCATGAAGCAGACATAAATAGAAGCTTGATAAACTTAGCCTCATTGGAATCATTTGTTAAGTATAGGCCATGAAAGACAGTACAGGGGTACCCACAAACGTTTTTAGTTACCACGACAACATGTTTATCATTTACCTACCATAGGATATTTCTTTTACGGCTCCCTACAGTTCTTTTCGTTCTTGTGACAGCTAACCCCTCACAGACCACCATTTGTGTTAATTTGTTACCTTCTTTGGTTATTGTGTTACAGCCCTCTGTCCTGTAGAAGTGTATTTAGTTGTGTATGTTACAGACCACCATTTGTGTTAATTTGTTACCTTCTTTGATTATTGTGTTACAGCCCTCTGTCCTGTAGAAGTGTATTTAGTTGTGTATGTTACAGACCACCATTTGTGTTAATTTGTTACCTACTTTGGTTATTGTGTTACAGCCCTCTGTCCTGTAGAAGTGTTTTTAGTTGTGTATGTTACAGACCACCATATGTGTTAATTTGTTACCTACTTTGGTTATTGTGTTACAGCCCTCTGTCCTGTAGAAGTGTATTTAGTTGTGTATGTTACAGACCACCATTTGTGTTAATTTGTTACCTACTTTGGTTATTGTGTTAAAGCCCTCTGTCCTGTAGGAGTGTATTTAGTTGTGTATGTTACAGACCACCATTTGTGTTAATTTGTTACCTACTTTGGTTATTGTGTTACAGCCCTCTGTCCTGTAGAAGTGGGAGCAGTACATCCTCCTACAGCAGTGTGTGCGATTCTCCCTTCACCACAAGGGGGCGTGGTCCGCGGTTGGCCAGGAAACAGAGCGTTGGAATGGTGAGTCTTGATATAAATATCAAATGGGATCTAGTCCTTTATTATATCATATATATAACATACATGTTGTTATCAATTCTTTTATTGGACCTTAGGGTCTGTTGAATTGAAATAAATAAATACATAAATTTAGAATTGTGATAATGGATACCAGCTATAGATAATTTTACAGATCGGGTTTATCATTTTTCTTCAATTCTTACATATTGAAATTGAATTTAATATAAATTTCAGTTTAATGAGTATTTTTAGATAACTTGATGTGTCTGTATGGGCCATTGCTGTATTATAGCCATTAACATGCTGGCATAAAAGGCTACCCATTTTTTGTTCAAATGAATGACCTTGACTTATATGATATGTAGCAGTATTAATTCTAATTGATACTTCTGTTTCCTCAGCTATGTTAGTAAAACATATTTGTATTTGTTTCCAGTATGCAAGTCTTGATGAAATCAATGAACACTCCCCCAGTGCACTAATGGTAAGCTTAACCGTAGTACAAGAATGTATCTCGTTCACTTTGTGTTATTCCTTCATAGTTAAACAAAGTATGAACATATATTTAAGTTTTATACTGTTTGCCTCCTGTTAAAATGCCAATGATATGACTCAGCTGCCTGTATGTGTTAAAAATGCTTATGAAATTTTATTATACATTATGTGTAGTGCAACACAAGTATACATGTATAGCTTGATAATAGCTCCTTTAACCCTTTCACCACTGTAGATGGACTCATCCATATCAATGCATTGTAGAGTCTACTAAAGTTACATAGGGGTGAAAGGGTTAATGGGACAACCATTTGATTTTTTGGGAGAAGGGGGGAGTTGGCCTTGCAGATTTAAAAATTGCAAAATATTATTTTCAATGGGGCCAAGTTACTTATTCACTCTCCATGCAGAGCCATAATATCAATTTTTGAACAAAAGATGAATACCAAATTTTGCCAGGGCACTCACCCCCTCCACCACCACTGGCCCCAGATATCAAGTGGAGGTTCTGTAATTGGTTACCACAGACAACCCTGTAAATATGATGGACTGTTTGATGGCGTTCAGGGATAGACACTAACTTTTTTTGTTTGGTAGTCCACAGGACTAGTTGAATAAATTGTATTACTAGTCCTTCGTCAATGTAACTAGTACAAGATTTCCTGATAAGGAAACATCGCGATCTACAGCATGAAATATCAAAATTAATTGATTGTAGAGGACTTAAAAAATACCTACTGCCTTAAAAATATGGGGAAGTTTTAGGTAAGTTTTGACGATTATCATGCAATTTATTTTATTTCAAGCAGTTTTCTAAATTTTAGAAAGTAATATTTTTATTTTATGATCATATTTTTCACAAGTCCAAAGGACCTGTTAGGTTAGGTGATTCACTAGTCCTTGCTGAAATCTACTAGTCCAGGACTAGCGGACTAGTGTTGGTGTCAACCCCCGACGTTTGTGACAAAAGGGGGGATTTCACTTTGATGAATACTTAACCCTTAGGCTGCTACATTGATTTCTATGTAAAGGGACACACTGCTGAACTAATTATTGAAATATAAATTAATTTATTTGATTTTTCAAATGTGCATAACTTGAAAAATATCTGTTATATGTGAAAAAAAGTTATAAGAAAATTGTTCGTTATTGTCTCTAATTTATATTAACATTTTCAATTCTAAAGTTGCTTCAGTATTTACCTGTACAGGTGGTAATAAAGGTAAGAAAAGGTGAAACTTTTAATTAATCGGATTTAACCACCAGAAAGATCATTTTAAAATTATTTTTGTCAGCAAATGTGATTTGCAAATGATAACAGATTATAAACTTCATTTTTGACATAAGACGCTGTACATTTACACGGAGATTCTCAGGTAAAAAGGTCAGGTATTTCATCGAGAATTGCATGTGATTTGCTACAGGTTTCAGGTCGTCATTCAATATATTTACTGTCACAGTCGTCATATATAGATAAATAAATGCTACGGTCTAGTTTATGATTAAATCATCGATAAATAGTTTGAAGAAATCAATCAGCTCAAAACGTATCAATGTCAGTGTTCAATTCGGCCTCACCTGCAGACGACATGTGCGCCTCGGTCCGCCGATATTTTCCTGTTTGCGTAGGGCACAAAGCTGTTCTTTGGAAAGTTACATATTATGTTACACCAAAGTATTTCCACATCAACCATGTCAAACCCTTCAAAACCTTTATTATCATCGTAGGTGACGCTGGAGAATAAATGTTTACCATCATATTCATCGCTTAAATCTACACGTCAGCCATTTTTATGACATTTTTTCCTATTTGAAATTCTCTTGCACACCTTTGGCTATTACTAGGGTACACTGCCGGGAATATCAAAAGTAATGACAAAACAACCAATCAGAAGCCTTCTACTATACACGTTCGAGTTTGGTATAGCAACAACCCGACTTCACACTTCCTGTTTACTGATCAAAACCTACAGACTGAGAAACGGCATATGCCAAGCGTAGCACTGACGACCCAACTTTTCAGAACGGCATATGCCGGGCGTAGCAGCCTCAGGGTTAAGCTTAAAAATATTTATAAAATGAAATGTACTGCATACATGCATGTCGTAAATTTTGTTTTATCTTTTATCTTGATGACACTAGAGCCTTGTATCAAAATTTCAACTCCCCCAAATCTTAAAAAAGGGTAGATTCCCCAAATATCTATATTGATTCCTGCCTTGACCTCAAGGTCAAAGGTCAAATAAGTGGAAAATTTTCAGGAATATCTTGTCTTGGCCATAACTTTTTAATGGTTAAGCAGATATTCCTTTTTTGTTCACAAAAACAAATCTCTGCTTATAACTTGTTTTGCTGTCGATTTCGCCTAATATCACTTTAATAGGATGCAGAAGTCACTTAGTTATCAATAGTGTACATGTCTGTCTGAATTTAACATTCCAGATATTCTACAACACAGATATACAATTTTGTGTACTAACTTTGATCTTCCTTGTTTATATATATATATGTCACAGCTTTAAACGTATTTACTGGATGGAACATTTATCATCTCTTTCTAGGCTGCTTGTAAGATTTCAACAACCAATGCCTAGAGTTTGTAGGTACAATGCATTATCCAAACTATACTCTTACAAGCTACCTGCATGCTATACAAGTGATTAGTGACAATGATATGAGTCTTGACTCGACTTAAACTACCGATAGAACTTTAGGCCAGACACCTCTTGCCCCCATCCCCCATCCCCCATTCCAAAACCCCACTTCCCCACTACCCCACTGGAACTATAGGGTTGTTCTCTGTCAATTATTTGTTATATAAGAGTTACTATGGAAATGCTCCTACAGTAGATGTATATACTGATATTCATCATCAAAGGTCAAGGTCACATGTAGACGAGAATATTAATTGGTCAGAAGACTTATTTTTCCCCAATGTAATGCATTAATAACCAAGCTCTTTACAGATATTCCATTTGAAATTAAGTATCTATAACGATAGAGATATGTCACAAACATATTTTCTTTATGCTTCATGCTGCCATGAACAGAAATTGCTCTTTTGTTTTATAGTCAACCATTAGTGCAAGTCATTTATATTTAGACAAAATGTTTGAAAAACTGCAGCGTCTTTTAAAAAGTCATTAAGCTTTGTAATCTGTCAATAGCATTGACTTTGAAACTCATGTCAAACTTGTACAGTACTGTATAAGATATATATCCTGATCGTGATATTCAAGCTTGAGCATCAAGCCCCAATTTCTAGATATTTGCTTTCACATTCTATGTCTTGTGTGCGAACAATTTTTGCAATGCTTTTTCCTTGAAGATGGATTTTGTTGCACATATGTTTAGAGTTTCTTTGATAGACTGTAGACAATCATGTATGCGGTATACCAGGAAAATGCATGTTAGTTTTGAGACAGTAGATATTTCATCTCCACACCAACGTATTGGGCCTTTTTGTAGTGATCACCTTGTATTGAAATATCAAATAATATCCATCTGTAACATTTGATCCCATACCTGTACTTACATGTACATGGCTGCAGTTTCATGAAATATGTAAAGTAAGATTTTGTACAAAACATAATATCTCAATAGTGAAAACAGTGCTGGAGTTAATGAAAAATTCTTATCTTAAGCTAAGGAATGTTCATGAAACTGAGGCCTGAATCTATATCATACCTGTATCATACTTACCTATAATTATAACATTTGATGGCATACATTCATATATATCTATATCATATTATTAATTATAATGTAACATTTCATAATAAATATTGACATGTTCAATGATGTATATTCTTTAGTTCTAATATTTTGACAAGGCGATTGTCACTATATGTACAACATTAAAATATATATACATGTACACACAAGGCTATGTTGCCAATTTGATTTGGCAAACAAAACAGCTAAATACTGGACTCTCTGATCTGTTTGAAACTTAAGCGCCATACAATAAGACTGCATAAGAAAATATGCCTGTCCAGGAGTACATTAATTGCCCTTAATATACAACCAACAAAGTTTAGGGGTGAATATTCTGGAATTGAGTTTTCTGTCTGACTGAACCTCCATACGTCGAGGAGATGTGAATAAAGTATATAGATTGGAGTGACAGCCAAGATTAATGGAGTTATGCCCCTTCGTTTAAAACACTTGTTTACATTACTCCTCCCAAAGCACTACACCAAGGCTACATTCGCGTATCCCAGTTGAAACGGTACGTGTGGCGCAGAAATTTTCCACGATAAACGAACACACTTGGACCGTTCTATAAGCAGAGCTAAAAATCCAGTTTCGGAGAATAAAAAACAGTGTTTCAAGAATATTATGACCTTCTTTCATCCGTCCACTGAATTACATAACGTAACTTAGAAACTACATGTGACTTGACATTGTTTTAGAAAGAAATAACGCAAATTGGCAATAGTCAGTATTTTAGTTTCGGTCAGGTGCGTCTGGACCCCTCAATCTAAACGTGCCAAATTTTCCTGAGGTCANGTCAGGCGCATCTGGACCCCTCAATCTAAACGTGCCAAATTTTCCTGAGGTCAGCCTCGGTCCAGATCTGTACCTGTCGTTTTCTTTACAGGTTCAACCGGTTCAACCGGTTCAACCGGTTCAACCGCATTATCCCTGATGTTGAATGTACCCCAGTATAATGATACTTGGTACACAATATGCTTACATTTAGATAGAGGGGATGTGAATAAAGAATTGAGATTGGAGTTACTTCCACAATATATGGAGTTATGCCCCCTTGTTTAAAAACATACTTTGCACTGCTCCTCCCAAAGAACCAAACTGGTGTGGATGACACTTAGTACAGATAACACTTAAATTAATCGGATATTAATAAAGCATTTTAATTTCAGTTACCTTCCAAATTTATGGTGTTATTTCCCTTGGTCAAAAAACATTGTACACACTACTCCTCCCAAATTAAAACACCAATTTCAATAATCCTTGGTAGACAACACTTATGTTAAGGGGGTGTGAATTAAGAAAACATTGTTCACACTACCATACTCCAAAGTTACTGTGCTTATATAAATGACACTTGGTACACATAACACTTCATTAATGGGATGTGAATAATGTATGCTGATTGGAGTTACCTCCCTAATCTAATGGAGTTATACCCCTTTTTATTGTTGGAATAACTCTTCCAAAGGTACTGCTCAGATTTAAACGATTCTTTGTACCCAGAACTCTTACATCATGGGAATGAGAATGAATAGTAACCTTACTTTTTAATAGAGTTACGTCCCTTGGTTTAAAATAACTTTTCACACTATTTTCAATTTAAATAATGCTTTAGGCGCAGAGCCTTTACAGCAAGTCAATGTAAATAAAGTTTTTAATCAGTTTCTTCACCTTTTCATGGAGAACCTTCGTTTCAAAACTTTCTCAAAAGAAACTTTTCCTAGTGCTCTTTGGAAGGGGTTGGGGGTTCTCCTACAACATAAGAGGCCGCTGGTCGACCATTTTTCTATCGGATATGATTTTGCCAACTGCGCCAAGGTTACGCGGGACCTGTCAAAAGTAATTCGCCATGTAAACTGGGGTAAAAAGCTTGCCATACTGAGTCAGTTCTAGTGCTTGCTGTCAAGTCTAGATTTGGCATTGTTAAAATCAGAAGTCACAAAGAAAAACATGAAACAAATAGATACCCCCTACTATAGCGGGGTATCCAAATTTCTTTTCAGGATGTAACCCTATGCATATGTAAAGCCTGTATTTGGCCTAGCATGTATGTACATGTACATATGAAGGAACTGTGGTGCTTGGCTTTGGCTTTATAATCAGACATGCTTGCACGGTAAAGGTCTGGTGGTGTTATGGCTGTAGGGATACTTGTAGTTATACTGCATTTAAGACTGCTGACAAAAAGAGTACATATCTGATATTCATGTCATCCATCGTTGCATCATTTATTTTATGTTAATGAATATACATAAAAACTAAAAAATAATTGATGTATCGAATGGATCGATCAGAAGCTAGAATCACAGAAAATGAAGGAATAATTACAGGTTTAAAAATTAACTGGTATAGTTTTCACTTCAAAATACATGTATCAGTAATAAAGTTATTACCAAACTATGAACATTAATTTATAGATTGCATTGTAGTCTTTAGACAGGAGTCAATTAACTGTTTAGAGTTAATAATATTTATAAGTAAAGTGTTGAGCCCTATCAGGGCCTACCATAGTCCTTGGTGAGCAAGATATGGCGTGCACAATACTGCATATTACATAGCATTTTTGTTTTTTTAGCCCACCATCATCTGATGGTGGGCTATTCAAATCACCCNAACTAGTGAAGAAATGGGAAAGTGCTCAGTGTATTGGTGCACTTATATATCTGATATTCTGATAACAATAATCTGGATTGCATTATAATCAGGAGTTCTGTGCAGTTAATTTAATACATGTATGAAGACCTTATGCGAATATTCATGAAAATCTTATATCTTTGGATTATAATCTTATAGATATATGTACATTGTTATAGTTATTAGTAACACTACTGTTGCACGGTTTATATAACATCATTTCCTTGACTCTGTGTTACAGCCGAGGAAACAGAGGGTGTTGAACACCCCTAACATGCCAGAGCCAAAGAGGATATCCAAGTGGTCCCCAGTACACAAGACTAAGCCCCTGTGTCTGGACGAAGCTGTTTCTCAGTGTACAAAGCGTACTGCCTCCAGATAGACCTGTACCTACAGTGTACATGTAGGCTGGCAGAGACTTCATCAATGGAAAGGGGGAAAAAATACAAAAAAATGTCTATACAATCAATAGGTGTTGGAATATTCTACCTCTGTACAATTGGTAATAGAATAGTGATCCAGCTTTGTATGAGTGTATTCATGTACTTATAACCTTCATCTTAAGGATCCCTGTCCCACTGCACTTTTTGTTTGTATATACAGTGACTTAACCCTTTCACCCCATGTAACTTTAATAAACTCTACCATGCATTGATCTGGATAAGTCCATTATGGTCTACAGTGGATAAGGTAAACCTCCATTTGGCTATGACTGTCACACAGTTGGGCGCGGACACTTCTGTCGACGAGGTGTCTCGGTCAGTTAAAGTGATGGTGTAACAGTCTGAAGTTCAGGGTTCTAATCCCTGTCTAGTCCTTCTGAATTTCTACAATCAGAACATTACACTGATGTTTGATTATTTTCATCATGTTAATTTCATCTCTTTTAATTTTCACGAAGACTGTTGCAAGGTTTGGTCTTCTTTCCACAAATGATTTATCAAAGCTATAGTCATGCTGACAAAATCAGTTTCCAATAATTAGTTACAGTTTTTGGCAGTGGTACAGGGATCCTTAAATCGCTCACTACTGTCATCATTTTGATCCTATTTTCATGCTGTTCATCTACAATGTCCTGTTTTTTTTGCGTTCTGTCCTGCTTGAATACTACTTCATCCATCTCCCTTATCTTTTAATAAATCCTATTTAATTAATCATTTGTACTAATTTTATTGACAAAATCTTTCTTCACAGAGTTTTAAAAGTTTTCTCACTATATCAGCCTGTTTTGGGTTTGTTATTTTTGTCATCATTACCTGTGTACTGACATATACCAACAAATAGCAAGGCTGACATCATTTCATTGAGTTGTTTTAATCAAATGATAACAACCATAAAGGTGATTGATGAGCAGATAGCCAGGAATAGCGCTAGACTTTTTGAAAGTTTGGTCCTAATCAATAAATTTGATTTCATTGCTTCATTGATGATACAAATATTGCCTTAATACATTCACTGGTAGGCCGTCGATGTATGAAGTATGAGACGGTGAGAATTAATCAGGATTTATGTCTACTGAATTAGCTTGCTAGAATAGATAAAAGTCATAATTTAGTTTCAATATTTACTCGCTCTAATATATATAATGATCATAATTTCAATTCGTTATCATAAATGGTCTTATTTTCTGTGAATAAATTTTTGCGAACTGTGTGGCCCTAATTAAGACTGCCAAATTTAAACATTGCTACAAAGTATAGATTGTTTTAGTTTAAAATCACTGAAATAAAATAAAGAAAAAAAATCCTTTTTGTCTAACTTAGGTTTTCTGCTTCTCAGAATACACTAACATGTATTCCTACATGTAGATAGGACTTGAACATATCTAACTGTCATAGGATGTCATCAGTGCTAACAAGCACGAGGAGTTTGCCGGCTTGCTCAGTTAATTGTTTAATTTCATAATTAGGTCAGAGATCTGATTTTAATTAGATTGGCTAGACTTGTATTATACATCACAGGTACTCACTGTAATTCTTCCCCGTCTACCTAGAAAAGATGAATAGTGACATTAGACGGCTGATTTAACATGGCCTCAGGACATTTCGTTCTCTACGATCACGATTTTCCTGTCCTGTAGCACAAGATAACACCAGTGATACAGGTATATTGTACTTCATTATCAATGGCCACATGCTTTTTTCATGGTACCTCAGTACATACTCTTTGAGTGCAGAAATACTGGTGTAATACATTTTGGCTTAAATCATATTGTAATTTGACCAAAACTTTATCATAGCGACTGAACTAGACATAAACTAAAGGAGATGCATGATAATGATCATGTATTTCAGTAGTTGAACAAAAACTACCTCAGGCTAAAAGTTCCGACTGTACAACATCAACGATTTCCTAATAACACAGTTTTCAAGGGTCAGCACATTGTGAAGCCCAGCGTGAAATAAAACTTGGGTGGTTATGTGAGAAATACATGTGTAACAACATCAGACAGGCGATAGTTTGTATTGTCCCCTGATAAGTTTATTTAACGTGAACAGAAAAGCTTGTGTGATAGTTCTCGAGTACTAAGTTTGTGATAAAAGTTGTTAGTACTACAATGATATAATGTTGATAAACATTGGCTGTAATATTACCATGGAATAGTAAAATGTCCTGTGTTGTATATTTTTAGTCTATTGTGTGATGTAAATACTTCAGTGTTTAAGCTTTTATAACTTGGCATGTAGATATGTTGTAGAATAACCAAGTACAATGTATGTGTTTAATTAAGAGGCCCCATTCTCTCCAGTTTTAGAAATATTGATGTCTTAGCTTACAGTTCCCAGCCCAGGTTTTTCAGTTATATTTGAGACCGGACTCAATTTTTTCTTTATGGGCTTCACCAATATTTTGATAGCCCACTATAACTCTTAGGTAAGGGACTCATCAAAATATTAAAAAGAGTTTACTTGAAAAAAATACAAAAATTACTGATCATTCTTCATTCTTAAAATCATATTAAGATAAAAGTCTGGATTTCCTACAATGCCCTTAAATCTTTAAAATAATCTAGTTTATTTTTGCATTTTTAAGTTAGGAGATCTGGGCTCATTTTTCGAAGCTGGCCTTTATGAAGGCTGTCTTATTTTAGAAGCCCCGTAGATGGTTAAATGTGTATGGCTAATTTTTGCGGCTATCTTACTTGAAAGCATTTTAATCAGTATAGAAGTCATAGCTGAATAGGGGCCTCTTAATTGATTTTTTTAGATATAATTGACTTCAAGGAATCCAAGGTATATTTTCAAGGCTGCCTTATTTTCCAGATATATTTGACTGCAAGGAATCAAAGCTTATTTTCGAAGGCAGCCAACATTTTCGATGTGGGTATATCATAAGATGGTCAAGTGCGGATGTATTTATGTTGAGAAATTGCCTCTTAACTAGAAATTAAAAAACTACCTGATAAATATGTACATTTCTCAGGTTGGTGACAAACAGGATTTCACTTGTTGTTTGCTTTTTCGTGTGATTTCCTGTAGAGTCTAACACCCTAAGTAAGATATGTAACATGTGATATATATTTTCACATTTAACATTAATGAATGTCCATGATGCTTATTAATAAAAGAAAATATTGTCATTTAATTTAATATTTTAAGCAGAATGTACCTTAAGGTTTTCCTAAAAGGCCGTATTTTCCAACATTTGGTGACATAATTGTATGATTGATGTTTGAGACTTGAAATCAACATTATTTGTCAGAAATACAATTTCAATGTAAAGTATAATAATGGTATTGTATAAACAGTAATATAAGCAGGCTTATGTTATACTATGGGCTACTTGTCCGGTGTATTGTTTATGTTATATTTACTAGAAATATTTTGTTAAGAAAGTCATTTTTGTGATTGATTCTTCTGCAATGGTAGGTCTTTTCATCCATTTTCAGTCATTTTGGCTTAATATCAATAAATAATATCATTTCACAGAAAATGTGAAGTCTTGTGATTTTTTTTTTGAATTTTTTTTCAGAAATTAAAATTTATCTCAAGCTCTGATATTACCAACGATTGATATAATGCTGAATTTGATTTTTGTGTTAAAATTGAATGAAAGCTTTGTCAACTTATTTTTGAATCACCTATGTGCATGACTGTTGGGTAAACTTTTAATTTCTGGACAAAATTTCATGAAAAAAAGGTTGCTCTTGACAATATCCACTGATTATTGTGTGATGATCATGTAATACTGGTAGCCACCCAAGACTTGAACTTTTGTGGTGAAATGGCATCTTCATTAATCAGGGGTTTATGCCCACTTTCACTCTGCACCCCTGGAAAATGTCTTGACAAAATCGAAGGCTTATTGTATGCAACGTTGTAGATGAGACAAGAAGACAAATTTGATCCTTTTATGTATATCAAAATAATCTCGCGTTGGCGTAACAGTAAACATTGATCCGCTTTGAAGTCGGTTGTCGCTCCTTTGTAATCTTCAGAAGACAGGTATCAGCCTTGTGATTGGTCAGGTGTACCTTGTAACATGTGGTACAATAAAAAATCATGTCAAGTTTTGGTTTGCAAGATGTTTTTAATAGGTCAGAATGTTGTGAGCATTTGCTGAGCCACCATTAATATTGTACTTCCTATTAGATTTTTTTCAACTTTTAATGAGAACTGTTTTCCATACATTAAATATCAAAACTTTTCGAATCATTTCCCATTTTCCCCTGGTAAAAATTGAATATATTGCTGAATTAACGGAATTAGCTTTTTGTTTTTTATTTGGAATTATATTTTATATTTTTATTTTTTTTTAAGTTTAGAAAATCGTTCAGTTGTAGTTAAGCTGATATATTTTTTACATTCAATGCTTCATTGGATATCAGTTTATAGCTAGTGACATCAGTGGATGTTTTCCAGGCTCTTGAGGTTGTTGCTTGTATTTACCTAGCATGATTCCCAGGACCTCCTCTCTTTTGGCTCGCTCACCTGACAGAGGTTTCCCATGCTTCTAATGTCCTTTAATGACCTTAGCTGTCCATTGGACATTAAACAAAATCAATCCCATGCCTCTCACACTGTGGCTTATAATACAAGCAGAATGTTCCCTATGCCTCCTACATGTATGTTGTGGCTAGTGAAACCCGGTGGAGGTTTCCCATGCCTCATACATTTTAGCTTAAAAAACCCGGTGGAGGTTTCCCATGCCTCTTACACTAGCTTAAAAAACCTGGAGGAGGTTCCCAGCTCTTGAGGTTGTTACTAGCACCTCTAATTGTTTGAGACGGTTGATTATACTATAACTAAGTACAAGATATTCCTACCTTGTCCTCAATATCATTGTGTTACATCTGTAAGACCTAGTTCCTGTTGATGGTCTGAACGTTATGTAAAACCCTGTCAGGTGTGAGCCAGGTTGTGTATCTGTGTTATCAGTCTGTAGACCACCATTGTGTAATTATGTCAAGTGCTTATTTTATTAAAATTGGTTATGAGAATAGGTTATTTTTTCTGTTTTCTCTGTTGCAAAACTTCATTTTTTGTTTTTGAATTAATTAGGAATTAACATAGACAATTTCTCTTTTTTTTTAAATTTTCTCAAAAGTGATTCAATCTGTCTATTAACATTTCTTTTTCCTGATCATGAACTCCCTTAAACAAAGGCATTAAGTCATACAAGAGATGTGCCAGAACCTTGTTCATTGGACCCTGGGTAGAAGACCCGAGAATTAAGAGCATATACTTTAAGGTCTTTCCTGAATGTACCTACAGACTTATCAAATTCGTGGTCAAACACCACTTCTGTCTGTCTCCCTGAAGCCCTGCTTTTCTTTGCGCTTCCACAACTATTTGTCACCAGGTGTCTGGGTCTGACCCATTTTCTTTTTCCCTTTAGAATTTATTGCTGTGATGTTGCTGTTCTTTTTGTCAATCACATATCTGTTGTCCGCCAGCTTAGTTTGTTGTCTGGTGTAAATTCAATGACAGCATTTTTTTCGCCCACCTGTTGAAGAATGCAAGACTTTTGTCAACATCTGTCCAAACATCTAATGAAGTGATAGAATGATATTTACTATATTTACCATAAAACCAGTTTCTTTCTGGTCAGAGTAGACAGTTTCAAACTCTCTGAATAAACGTTTACAGATGACATTGTACTGATTATCAGATGATATAACTATTTTGTTTGGAGTGGTTTTTGAAGTAGTTACATAACTGAGAAACTTGCTGGGACAAAGGGAGTTTATTCTCCATACAAAAGTGCCAGAGTTTCCTCAATGGAGTTATGGTTGAATTTGTAACAAACTCTGCCCTGCCCCCACACAACACCATCCGCATTCCTGCCCTGCCCCTGCCCTGCCCTGCCCTGCCCCTGCCCTGCCTCCTTATTCCATTATTTGATAGTCCTGCTCTACTTGGATTTAATATTTACCCAGAGTTTGGAATCTAGGGCCCCTGTCGACTGACTGTATAGTGTTCTGCCCACATTTCGAGTTTCTCTCTGATGTTGGTGTTCCACCATCCTATCCAACACTGGTATGTCTTACAAATGAACTTCGTACGGAGCTGTCATGTCTTTCTGTACATTGCTGTATTTGCTGACTTGCGTTGTCTGCTAAATCTTTCACAGATCCTTTCTTGTCCGCTCTAGCTTAAACGTTAACTTCTTTATGAGTTTTGTATCGTGTTTGCGACGCACTGAGGATTCTCTGTGGTGTACAATTTGTTGACTGATGCACAAGGTGAGCTTATGCCATACCATGGCCTCCCTCATCTGTACGTCAACAATTGCTTTAAACGACTTCTTCTTCTTCTTAACCAATGATTGGAATTTAACTAAATTTGACTGGAACCATCCCTAGGTGGTGGGGATTCGAAATTGTACAAATGGTGGGGTTGACCCCCCAGGGGGCTGAGGGGCGGTGCCAAAAGGGGGCAATTTGGCCATATTGCTTTAAGTGACTTCTCTGGAACTAAGTGATGGATATCAACCATATTGGACTGGAAGCATCCCTAGGTGGTGGTGATTCAAAATTGTACAAATGTATGGGCTGACCCCCGTAGGGTGCTGAGGGGCGGGGCCAACCAGGGGCAATTTGTCTATATTGCTACAAACAACTTCTTCTGTAGAACTTTGCACTGCCTATCAATCATATTTAATCAAAAGCATTCATGGGAGGAAGGGATTAAAAATTGTACAAATAGTGGGGCTGAGGGGCGGGGGCCAAAAAGGATTATTTAGCTATATTGCTTGAAGCAACTTCTTCTCTGGAACTAAGTGATGGATATCAACCATCATCCCTAGGAGGTGGGGATTCAAAATTCTACAAATGGTGGGGCTGACCCCCCAGGGTGCTGAGGGGCGGGCCAAAAGGGGGCAACTTAGCTATATTGCTAAAAACGACTTCTTCTGTAGAACTATGCACTGGATATCAGTCATATTTGATCAAAAGCATTTATTGGAGGCAGGGATTAAAAATTGTACAAATGGTTCGGCTGACCCCCTGGGCTAAGGAGTGGGGTCAAAAAAGTCTTTATTACTTGGAAATGGTTGAGATCCCCACTGTATAACCATATAAACAATTGCTGAGTATAAAGAGAAGAATGCACATTTGCTTCCAGGATGTCCCTAGGGTCTAGCCCCAACCTTGGATACATAGTCCTTGGGTCATAACTTTAAAACGGCTGAGATGCCCACCCCAAAACTATGTATACAAATGCTTGGCATAAAGAGACACATGCAGTCATGATATTAGAGTAGACCCTTGGGTCTGACTAAAACCCTACAGACATAGTTTCTTAGTCGCAGCTTTGAAACAGTTGAGATCCCCGACCTATAACCATAAATACAATCGTGAGTATAAAGAGATGAATGCACATATGCTTCCAGGATGGCCTTGGGGCCTGCCCCACCCTTGGAGACTTAATCCCTTGGTCATAACTTCGAAATGGTTTAGATCCCCACCCCAAAACTATATATACAATTGTTGGGCATAAAGAGACGAATGCAGTCATGATATTAGAATTGACCCCAGGGTCTGCCCCACCTTTGCAGACTTAACCCATGGGTCATAACTTAGAAACGGTTGAGATTCCCATCCCAAAACTATAAATACAAATGATGGGCAAAAAGAGACGAATGCAGTCATGATATTGGATTGATCCTGGGGTCTGGCCACAACCATAGGGACCTATTTTCTGAGTCACAGCTTGGAAACAGTTGAGATCCCCACCCCATTACCATACATAAAATTGCTGGGCATAAAAAATCTAATACAGATATGCTACATATTCCCTTGGATCTCATTTGGAGAATATTTTGCCATAATTGCTTAGATATCCAGGTGAGCGATACAGGCCATCTAGGCCTCTTGTTATCACCTAAGTTTCCAACCGTGGTTTCTTTCTTTCCGTTGTTACTCTTTCCAACAATTGCACTGCGGTCCCAGGCTCATCAGAATTAAATGGTGTACCATTACACTAAGTTGTTTATGTTAGAACTTCTTCACTTCAAACCGATCTGTTTGGTTTTATTTTGTTTAATTTCCTATTAACAGCTAGGGTCATTTAAGGACGTGCCTCCATGTGTGTGTGTAAGCGTGCATGTGTGCCGGTGTACTTGCCTCCTTGTGAAAGCGCGGATTTGGTGCCAACTTTATAGTGCCATCTCACTGAAATACCATTCCGAAGGCACCCAGCACAGCATTCCGCCCGGTCACATTATACTGACAACGGATGAACCAGTTGTTTCCATTCCTCTAAATGCTGAACGTTAAGCATGGAATAACAACTAGCATTTTTAAGGACTTTGGTATGTCTCGGCCTGGGGGCAGACCCCATTGCCTTGCATAAGTGTTGGTGAAGATGGATAACAGTCAGATTCGTGTACAAGGAGTAGAATCAGGCTGATAGGATCGTCTCATCTACTGAGTTCCACGCTATCAAGCCCTTCATTGCCTTCTTGCTCTTGATGATGGCATTCAACACACGAACCATCTTTACGAATATATTTTGCTTTCTCCTTTTGATGAACGATACTTCCGGCTTCAGTTCAGAGACTTTCGCTTATTCCTTTCTCGTCCAGTTGTGTCTTTAACAGCTTGTATCACTTTACTGCTTTAACTGTAATTTATTCTTCCTAAGGTCCAACTGTAACGAGGGGTTGTAGCCCCAACATAATCAGTGAAGCTATTAGTGGCTGGTGTGCGTTCATGACTCCAAGTTATACGCTTGTAGGAACAGTTAAGTCAGCCTCCGGTAAAGAGGTTGGGCACAGCCCCTCATATTTGTAATAATCCTGCATGTTGGTAATAGTCGTGTGAAAAGATTTGCTGACTAGAGCCTATGTTTGACGGAGGGGAAAAGCATTCCGATGAACACTTAGTAGCTTTTAGCTTAGCTTTCTATACCCAAACGTTTAAAATGTTTTCATGAGCATGGGAAGTCTTATTAGATTGTGTATTTTTTCTAGTCATCTGTAGGATTGGGGTTGATCTATCGAAAAGTTTGAAGATGAGTATTTGATTAAAGCCTAGCTTGACCGTTCCCAACCGTCGTCAGTACACTGTACCCTTATATATTCGATGATAAACGGCGAGTTGAAATTTCCGTGGAGCTTCTGCCATGCTTTTTGTCCGTCGTCTTCCACCGCCCGTCCGTTAACAATCTGTATCTGTATAGGTACGTTAAAAGACCACTTCTGGCATATAATCAACGGAAGGGGAGAGCGCAGTGGAGACGAGATTTAAACATCCTTAGTGTTTCTGTTTTCGCAACAATACCACATGTTTGACATTTCCAATCCCAGTGCCCTGAGGGGCGGGACCAAAATTGATCAAATTGGCCATTTTTTAGGTCACCTGAGCTTTGCTCAAGTGACCTATTATGATCACTTTCCGTCTGTCGTCGTGCGTCGTCCGTCGTGGGTAAACTTTTTACATTTTCAACTTCTCAAGAACCATTGGATGGATGTTTTTCAAACTTGGTCAGAATCATCCTTGGTAGATGAGGCTACAAAATTGTAAAATTGGGATTCCCACCCAAACCCCTGAGGACAGGGTGGGGCCCCAAAGGGAAAATTTACCAATATTTCAAAAATCTTCTTCTCCAGACTCAGAGGTACTACAGTCATTTTCTCTCTATGGATGGAAAGATCTCCAGGGGCTTTATTTAAATTGTAAGTTTCAGGACCCCCGAGCTATCCGTTCTCCCTTGGGGAGGGGGTAAAGTTTACTATAGTTTATATAGGGAAACAACACTTTTGGGTATATTTTGACAATTTTCTGTAGGAAATTATTCTTACTTTGTGAGAATTATCGTTGGACGAAGATGGTTTTAAACTGTAAAATTGGGATTCCTACCCCGACCCTAGTGGCCAGGACGGGCCCGAAAGGGAAAATTTACCTATATTTCAAAAATCTTCTCCAGACTCAGAGGTACTACAGTCAATTTCAGTGCATGGATAGAAAGATCATCAGGAGCTTTATTGAAATTGTCAATTTCAGGACCCCTGAGCCATCCATTCCCCCTTGGGGAGCGGGTAAAGTTTACTATAGTTTATATAGGGAAATAACACTTTTGGGTATAATTTATCCAATTTCAGCAGAAAATTATTCAAACTTGGTCAGAATCATCTTTGGTCGATGAGGGTATTACATATAATTACAATAAAATTGGAACTCCTGTCCCATCCCCAGGGGCTAGGGCGGGGCCCCAAAGGGAACATTTACCAATATTTTAAAACTCTTATCCTTTGATGACATGACAAGTATTGTATTTCACTTAATTTACATGCTGGTTTCCACATCACATCTGAACAATAAAATAAAGCTACCAGTGCCTATGATATAACTCAGCTGACCGCTAAGGCTGTCTACAATAGTGACTGAATAATAACATTTGTCCTACGTAATTCGATTGTTTATGTAATGAATCGTCCATGGTCATTTACCTGCAGGCAAGGCCATTGTTCGTGAAGTGAAATCGTGAGTGACGCTTGTGTTATAGCGTACACATTCTAAAGGTCACAGAGCCCAAACTGCGGCAGGTAGGTTGTTAGGACACCCAACATCGTTCACAGGGCCCAGGAAAAACAAATCATTAAAAAAAAACAGCACCTCTCAAAACTCGTAGGTGGGTAGGTACATGTAAAAGTGGCCCGCGAAATGACTGAAAAGGAAAAGGAAAGCCCTAACGTAGTAAGCACATGTTTGTAGGAATAAGGTTTTGTTCTGTATTAACAAGGACGGTGAATCTTACCCTCCAAATGAGCAGGTACATGATAACTCGATGCTCGAAACCAAACTCAACGTAAACAGTGGCGCTACATACAGGTTTGCTGGTATGCTCAAGCATACACTAACATTTTCAAGATTTCTTTGATAAGATATTTTTATTAATTTATTTTTTATGATTGAAAGGAAAGTAATAAAAAAAAGTCTCGGAAGATTTTAGTCTGATAAAATAGGGTTGCTATGTTATGTCTATACATATTGAAAAATTTCGAAGAAAAAAACAACTACTAACAGCCAGTCCAGACATTTGTTTTGGTTAATGGAGGTGTGAAGGTATTTTTGTTGTTGTCAAAATCCAGTTTGATAATACACACAAGACCGACCTTCAAACTCACAGGGACATATGGTATTTCAACCATTCAAACAAGGGACACGGTAAGAGACCTCTCACACACACGGTCATGACTACAATATAGATGAAAAAACCCATATCAACCACGCTTGGGCCCGGGGATGCAAAAACAAAGACTCTTCAAATATCTGTCACGAAAAAAATGTATCTCTAAACTTAAAGGTACATGGCAACCAAACATGGGGTTGACCCGCCAAACACGAAATGGTTTTATGAATTCTCACAAAATCGAGTGGTACCTTGTTCTCGTGCTTTAGACTAAGAGGAAGACGTGTCGGTATCAAAGGGAAATATGCAGGTGTTTTACGTTAAACCTTCCCACCCTTACAGAAGAATATAATATAGTACCAGCACGTCCCCGCCCTGTCCCACCCAAATGAAGGTCTCAAATGACGGTCAAACCCTCAAGCCACGTGTTGTTTGTCAGCTCCATATTGTGAAGCTCCAGATTATAAACTTTTAACTACATTGTACTACACTCTGTAGATAAATGGATGTAGAAGATGAAACCGTCAAGACAATGGCCACTTTGGTATAAAGGCAGAGAAAACACAAACGAAATCAGGACATCACAGTCCAATAGAATTTAACGATCACTGTTGATGTAAAATGTTTACATACCGAAACTGTAGCTGCCATGGTGACAATAGATGCGAGACTCAATTTAAACGAAATGCTCTCGACAGTCAGCGTTAAGTAGACATTATGAAACATTTCTCGTGTCTATCTTCGGATACTTTCAGTCTTTCTGTAAACGAAATAAAAACAGCGATCTGGACATCGCCTCGGGACCAAGAGATTGTGTATTTCTGATAGTCAATCACGATTTGACCACTATGGGTAAGCGTGGACGAAAGAGCTACTGGCCTGTCCTATTCACACATGACAATACCCCCTCCAAATCAATGTAAACTACACATATATGCCGGTAGCCTGTTCTGACGTCACTGGTCTGTGACCGGCCTTATGAGAAGGGGCTCTTGTCAAATCGATCACTTTTTCATAAACGACAGGACGAACCTTTTTCAAGAGGCTACATCGGGATTGGTGTAAGTGTCGACGGCATCTGGGTTATTTTTAATAGTTTCTATCAAATCTACTGTTTTAACTAATGATCATTGTAAACTTCTCTTGCAGCTTAACTAATACACTACTTAGTCCTATTTACTAACACATCAATGAGTCTCTCTTAAATGATGTTTTACCTGCAACCTAATGTTTTATTTAGTTCACTAAAATGATTTAAAACTTTGTGCTAATAAACTTATGGTTTACTGAGCGCCCACAAACTAATGTTTAACTTAGTTCACTTGAATAATGTATTACTTTGTGCTCCTAAACTAATTTGAGCGTCCACAAACTAATGTTTTATGAATTTCACTTAAATAATGTATCTACTAAGTGCTCCTACACTAACGGATTAATGAGTGCCATCAAACTAATGTACTACCGAGTCTAACGTTATTAATATATATGACTGACTTACATGTAGTAATGTATTATTCTGTCCAACTTAACGGATACATTACTTCGTTTCACTAAACTGATGCATTGTTTAATCTCATTTAAGGATCCCAGTCCCATTGTACTGTAATTTTACGTATGGGGCCATGTCACTTACATTGACCAGGTAGCTCAATGCCATCTTTATTATTATTATTTTCATAAAAGTCCTGCAAGGTGTAGTTTTCTATTCAGAAATGAGTTATCAAAACTATAGTTATGCCCGAAAACCAGTATCCAGTGCGTTAAGTTACAGTTTTTACGGTTTTAACGAACAAACTTCGTAACAAATGTATTTATGTGACCTGTATGAATGCTGGACCATACAAACTGATGTAATTAACGTTTTTACTTTGCGAGTAAATATTTATATTTGTGATTTAACTAGGTTTTACAGTGAACACAAACTTGATACTATTCTAATGTGACAAATAATATTTTTACCATTTTCACTCTAAATCTGAAAGCACTCGTAAGCGTAACAATAACAATGTGCGTTGTAAATGAAGACGTCATGTTTTCTTCTTACTGCTTCACATTGACATCACATAAGTAGAGTCAAAAGAATATAATTATACAATAACATGTCTTAGCCTTACTGCTTCACATTGACATCACATAAGTTGAGTCAAAAGAATATAATTATACAATATCATGTTTTTGCCTTACTGCTTCACATTGACATCACATCGGTTGAGTCAAGAGAATATAATTATACAATATCATGTTTTTACCTTACTGATTCACATTGACATCACATAGGTTGAGTCAAGAGAATAGAATAATACCCTAACACCTCTTAGCCTTACTTCTTATGAGTAACATCATATAGGCTCAAGAGAATATAATTTTACAATAACACTTCTTCGCCTTACTGCTTCACAATCGCATTGCATATGTGTATTCAAGAGAATGGAATTATACCATAACACGTTCATAACACGCCTTAGCCCTTCAACTTTACAGTGACGGACTATTCAAAGACATTTTTGTTGCATTTCTTTGTTCCTTTTCTTACTAGAAGCTTGAAGTAAAAAATATATCCAATATTAATTTATCATATCTCGAATCTTGACAGAAAAAATATTATGGAAAAAAAAATCAGAAAATTCGTTTTGGATGCAACTTTTTGTTTCAGTAGCATTACTTGAGATTTCAGGTAAATTCACATGAAATTAATTTTAAATGAATGAAATATAGATAAAATGCTGCTGACCTTTAATTCATATACCGTATGCATAACACATATACCTGTTGACAATGCTAGATAGGTCCTACACAATTTTATGCTACAGATTTATACACTAACACATCGTCTTCTTTTAAACGACTCATACGAAAACGTTCATTTTGTTTTGTTTTTAGGTTCACGTCCTCTCATTTGAAGACTGATGTATAGGGAGACACAAACAAAAAAATATAGGTAAGAGAGAAAAAGGATAGTTACATATACTTTACCACATATATTTAAGTTTGACTATACCGGTAGTATTCATGTCCTGTATACCAACCAATAGAGTAACGATATACCTATGTTTGTATTGCAGACATGTGGCGACTGACTGTATTCTGCCTCGGGGTTGGTCTGTTGGCCCAGGCCTACTCTGTTGAATCCGAGGGATCTCACAAGGAACTCCTCCAGAGATTACTCCGGGTGCTTACTGAGAAGGCTAGTGAGGACGCACTCAGAGAAATCACGCATCAGTTTGAGGAACGTGGGAGTGGAAATAATAAAGGCGGCGATAACGATGACAACGCTGAGAATGACGATGACGCGGATCTCGGACGTTTACTGGAAACGGTGCAGAGAATATGTACTGAGGCAGATTTCGACGGTGTTCCCGTATCGGTAAAGCAAACACTGGAGAATATTTGTTCCGTCCTCGACGATGAGGACAATGAAGGTGAGGATGAAGACTTGGATTCATCAGAAGACGGAGAAGACACGGAAACATCAGAGGACGGAATAGAAACAATGGGTAAACCAAAACCATCTAAACTTAAGGAGACAGTTAAAAAAGCTTTAAGCTCGCTTGTTAAATCATGCAAGGCTATTCAGAAATCGGACGCTGGCACGGGACCGGAACGCGACATGTTAGAAGAAATGTGTGAAGCATTAAATGACGGTAAAGGTAAAAGTAACATAGACGAAAGACGTAAAGATCCCAATGCAAAGACACTCAAGTTATTTAAGAAAACATTATCATCCCTCGAAGATTTGTGTGAAAACGACGCTATCGACGCTCTTAAGATGAAGGTTGGCGGAAGACCTGTCGGTGAGATCTTTGACATTGTCTGCCAGATAATATCAGGCGGACCTAGTCCAACAGAAGAGCCGAAACCAACTGGTGGACCAAAACCAACTGGAGAACCAAAACCAACCGACGAGCAAATAAAGCGCGCATTAGGCATGTTGAAGAAAGCATGTAAAGCTATAGAAAAAACAAACGACGGACAAGGTCCCGCTCGTGTCGTCATTGAGGAAATTTGTCAGTCAGTGACAGGAAATAAAGATGACGACAAAAAACCGAACAGTTCAGAACAAAGACGCGGGAAAAAACCCAGTGAAAATGCTCGCTTATTTCAGGATACGCTGGCAGCTCTAACTGATATATGTGACAAAAGCGTCCCCGCCACAAAGGGCGATAAAATGTGGGGTAAAACGTTTGATGATCGTTTTGATACAATCTGCGACATTATAGATGGTGAAGGCGTTTATCCAACCGATGGACCAAAACCAACAGGAAGACCTAAGCCAACTGGAGGACCAAAACCAACTGGAGGACCAAAGCCAACTGGAGGACCAAAGCCAATTGGAGGACCAAAACCAACTGGACGACCTAAGCCAACTGGAGGACCAAAACCAACTGGAGAGCCTAAGCCAACTGGAGGACCTAAGCCAACTGGAGAACCCAAACGAAGAGGACAAGTTGGCGGTATGGAAAAAAGACGGAAACCCAAACCAACGGATATCAAAAAGCAAGTAAAACACGCTATAGGCTTGTTAAGCAGAGCGTGTTGGGTCGTTGAGACATCGAGCGTGGGAATTGGACCCGCCCGCGTAGTTATCGAAGAAATTTGCATAACATTAAATTACGATAACGACGAAGAAGAAAAAGAAGGCGGCGATGAAACAGAAAAACGTGGAGGTCCCCTTGGCAAATGGCGATTATTTGAAGATGCAATATCAGCCCTAAGAAACGTGTGTGAAAACGATGCTATCGACAACCTTGATATGCAGATAGGCGGAAGACCAATCGGTGATATCTTAGACGTAGTCTGCGGTATAATTGATAGTGAAGACGAAGGCGGACCGAGTCCAACTGGAGGACCCAGACCAACTGGAGGACCAAGACCAAGTAGAGGACTCCAACCAACTGGTAGACCAAGACCAACTGGAGGACCCATACCAAGAAGAGGACCCAGACCAGCTAGGGGACGCAGTTGGTCTTTGTCCTCTACTTGGTCTTGGTCCTCCAGTCGATCTGGGGGGTCCGCCAGTTGGTCTTCGTCCTCCAGATGGTCTGCTGGAGGACCAAGACCAAGTAAAGGACCCAGACCGTTTGGTAGACCAAGACCAACTGGAGGACCCAGACCAACTGGAGGACCCAGGCCGACTGGAAGACCAATAGATATAAAAGTCAAATTCTATATCAGTGTGTTGAAGAAAATTAATCAAGCGTGTTCTGATAATGATGACACCTCAATAGACGCCCTTCTCCAGGCTATCTGCGAAGTTCTTAACTGATGAATGTCGCCAAGACATTTTTATAAATAACAGGCACTTCAATATAACATAGCACTGGACATATTATAAAAGGTACTTATTATTGCAAGCAAACTTAACATTTAATCAAGGAAAAAGTTGATATGTTTAAATGTATAATGAATCTTATAAGTTATCTTGTGTAAAGAAAAAATGAAATACAGTATGAACATTTCTGCTGAAATAAATATTACGCTGGCTTGCCATACAGATTTTGTTTTCTGGGTTATGCTACAACGATATGGAATCAGTTTCCAAACCAGCACAATATTTTCAAAATAACTTTGTCTGATTTTGTTCTGAAATATCAAGGTATGATAGATTTTGTGATTATTTTGGCGATAAAAAGTGAAGGATGAGTTCGAAGATTGAATAGAGAATGATGTCCAAAAAAAGAAAGAAATGAAAGAGGTAAGGAAAGCCTGTATACAATACAATTCGAGACAAATCTCCAGAAATAAAAACATGTTTTGTATATATAAGAAGCCTTGTCGTCAATATATGTGTACAAGCTCAAACGTGTCCACACTGTTTTTCAAGGTCGCACAGAATGGAGGGAGAAAATAATACATTCGAAATTTTGCCCCCCCCCCCTCCCCCATCCCAACCCCCAACGTTATAGCTTTGCATGATAGCTACCTGACAGGTAGAAGAGGAGGGACGACCAGGTAAAGAGCAACCGACCCATCCTTTATTTACCAAGGACTTTTCCTGTGTATCAATTCGACCCATTACAAGTGGTTGATTGCACATTCGTGACGATAATATGTATAACGCACCAAATTTCGGTTGGGATCTTATCTTTCCCCATCCATCTTTACCTGTGTTTCTTTTCGTGATCTTTATATATATATTAACGCCTCCCGTGGTGCCATCTGACTTTTGGCTAGATTACATAACGTTCGCCCTTGCGAGAGTATCCCAACCCCATGTATTTAGGGAAAGCGCAACTTGCGTCTGGTGTTATAATAGTGTGAACGGATAAAATATTGTGCTGTGAAGGAGGTTTCGACAGGGCATTACATTGAGGTAGTGCTCTAATGTCATCAGATTCGCGCTATCGCAAGGGGCTAGGGAATTGTACCAACATATTGTCTCCATCACATTCGAATACAAGACACACATACCTCCTCCTCCTCCTCCTCCTCCTCCTTCTGTCTATCTGTCTGTCTGTCTGTCTCTCACTCTCTCAAAATAGATCAATATTTCAATAAAAAGTAAAAGTAAAATGGGGGGTTAATGCCATTTTTCAATCGTCAGTCCATACCTTATACTTGTTGTAGCAAAGAAAGTTGTTTGTTTTACATTCTTACTTCTTGTCAACAAATTATTCAGTTTTTAAAGTAAGAGCCAAATAACTGTAAAAAAAATCATATTATCAAATTAAAAGTGCATCTGATTTTGTATAGTGACCAAAGCACAGACTTTGTTATGTTAAAGCCTAAAACGAAATATATGAGCACAATCTATTACACTTTGTTTATTTTTAACCGGTCACATAACTGGTAAAACATTTCTTTAAAAAAAACGAGCAAAGGGAAACTACTCTGTATTGACAATCGTTGCTGAAATAACCGTTGAACAGTTCAGTTTAAATGGGTTGTTCCCGGAATTTAGAAATACGCTTATTTTCTTGTAACATCTTCCATGTCAGTGTAAAGATATTACCCATCATGATTAAGATTTTGACACAATCAGTAACAAGTAATGGCAAATATTTGATTATTTTACGATGTTCTGTTATTTTTTCTTTTCTTTTTATTGTTCTTTTCTTTTTTAAGTAATATTTTCTATATCTAGTAAACAGATTACAGTAATCGGTACTTTATTTTATCAATTTTATCTTTGTTCGCAACCATAGCGTAAATGTTCGGATGCTGTTTTCCATGAATGCTTCTATAAAGTTCATTATGTTTTTAGGTAAGTAAGCAGGTACCTATGATGTTTTCCCATAATGCTGTATCCCAGAAGTCGATAATCGATATGGAGGATACTATATCCTATTGTTTCAGTCAGACAGAAATAACAACTCAATTTTGTTATTAACCCCACCTCGGACAGTTGATTTCGGCTTATGTTTGAGGATATCTTGTTAAATAGATATATACTGTTTATTTGTTATATCATATTAAATATCAGACTGGTTGTATTTATGGTAACAATATAAAGGTCTACTTACGTCACGTGTTAAGGATAAAACGTCACACAAATGACAATTACATTGATAGTAAGTACAATAGTTTCAAGTTTTATAATTTTTATTTAAATTATAAATACAATATATGAAATTAATTAACAGTTAAAGTATAGGTATGAGGGATATAGCAAGTTTATGATCCCCGAGGCTAGGACTATTTCCCGAGGCAAAGCCGAGGGAAATAGTCCTGGTCGAGGGGATCATAAACTTGCTATATCCCGAAATACCCATACTTCAACTGTTTTATTATACCGATACAAACAATCCCTTACAATATTCTAAATATTATTGGACAACACTAATTTGGAAGCACCAAAGAGTTGCACCAAAATAAAACAGAAAAGTTAACTGAAGAAGCAAACAAAAAATGGAAAGCACAAATTCGCTAACGGATGCCTGTACTGTCTATTGCCTCAAATATGTCCGACAACTCGCTCTCGTCCAACGCAGAAAACCTGGGGGTCGCCATTTCTGTTGTCTGTCAACAACAATGCGAGGTGAAGGTCGATCCAGAAAGTACCGGCTCCGCTGGCCGGAAATTGCCGACATAATTCGATTGCGCTGATTGGTCAATATTCGGTCAGACCCCGCCCACGACGTCACTCAATTTCCCTCATTTTCCGAGGGAAATAGTTTCAAAACTATCGCACCCCTCCAGACGAACTATTTCCCTGGTATGCAGTTAGAGGGGAAATAGCTTGTTTATGTGGTTACTTTTGTATAGAGTAAAATAAGTAGAGGTATAATAATATGTTTACAACTATCTTAATACTTGAGTTAGTTCACGAAACTGTCGTGACTGAGAGAAAAAAATACCAATACACTTATATAACGTTAGTGCAGGCAAATTCGCCATGAACCCAAATTCACCACCCTGTGACGAAAATGCCATATGACGTCATAATACATAAGATGTGACGTAAAGAACGTCACCATAGTCTTCAACACAGTTAAAGCCTTCCAATCTTTTGACAGGAAGAGGTATAAGAAGGGAAAAGCTATACTTTTAATCAAAACAGTTATGAAATATCTTGAGACACCACGAATCTTGAAAATTTGGTCTGTGCGACGGACATCTCGTCAACTAAACTCATTAACCTGAGGCCCGTTGGTAATTATTTATTTTAAATTCATTACATACACATTGACAAAACCCATGTCTCAACGCTAATTGCAGTAAATGGTCGACTGAGCCGTCAATGCAAGTCAATTGTTTTTTGTACAACTGTACTTTGGTACATACAATGTACCGAAGAGCCAATGCTTTTTTTTATTGAAATGACGCTCGGAAAGATTTGATAATTCATTTTCCATTTTCATGCAATGCGTATCTAAAATACAATCAACCAGTATCTTTTTAAAATCACTGTTTGCGTCTACAATTCAACCATCTTACAACACTTCAATCAAAATACCATCTAGGAAATAATTTGTTGTCGGCCTGGGGGTACTGCTGTACAATCGCATGCTGATTGTACGTAGAGATCGACAGTTACCAAAGACTGATTTTTACATGAAAAGGTAAGCACATTTACAACAACCTGGCCTAGCAGTCTTTGGTGAATAAGGTTTTACATGCATGTGACAAATTATCCAAAAGTCTGACCCGATGAAAAATATGATATTGGGGAGCGATTTGGAAGTTTATATTTGTGCAGGACTGAGTCTTTATTGCGTTTCATGTAAATTGACATCATCTTAGCCGATACCGGCCATCTTTCAAGTTACCGAAAATTAACTATTACAACTAAGAAAAGCCAGGTATTTCAATGTTTATCTTTGTTACACACACACATTTGGAGCTGTTCGTATCAGCACGACTTGTGTAACATAAACATCCAAAAGTTTACATTTAAACACTTACATCACTTGTAAATTAGTAAAATGTTTAAAGGTGACGAATCTGCCTGCACCTTTGAGCAAAACCACGGAAGACCTGATGACGTCACAAAAATTGTTGCGTGACGTCATTCAGCCGTGTTTACAACAATGTTTATTTATAGGCATTTCAGTCAAATCTTCTACTGTATGGTGCTCGTCGGCATTTTGATACATTTTTGGACGAATAATTATAACCGAAACCCGTTACAGTACATGATTTTGTTTTGTATATAAAGCACTGTATCTTAGTGCATTAGTAGTTTTTTCCTCATTCGTATAATGTACATATGGTTGATTTAGTCACAAGTCTGATAGCGCTGTTAAAATTCGCAGTAACGCCCACAAATACCACAGGGACATGATAATTTGTTACATCTATATTTGGACCTAAACTAAGGTGTTTAGAGTAATTTTACACGTTTGGGTTTGTTTATCTAGATCTAGTGTCCATCCGGATATGTCGATTTGTCACAAAAGTACCACAGCTAAAGGAAGTATAGAAGTGTGCCCGCTTTCGTTTATCGCGAATCAAACGGTTGGACTGGTTTGTACAATGGCCGACAAGAGGCTGAAAAAAGATATGAATTTTCATATCTTTTTGTACCATGGTACACTTTTATTTGGTACACAAAGATTTTCATATCTTTTTGTACCTTGTAAAAGTGTACCTTGTACACAAAAATATGAAAATTCAAATCATTTCATACTATGCGTGGTACATAAAGATTATAAACAACTTTACAAAAAACTCTTTACTTTCACATGTATATGTACCAACAGCCGATATCAGCCGGCAAAATGATTTGAATTTAAAGGCTTTGAAAAATGTGTACCACCAGAGCATCGGAATGTTGTTATCAGACACTATGACCAGAACTGACCCCGAATAGTAAAGCCCTAATTACAACGTCAAAACAAGTCGTGAAATTCATTAATCACTTCTGTTGAAAAACAGAGTTAGTTGCAATTGTGTAAGTATTTGGGGCTTGACAGGGTCTCCAAAAGGGATAAAGGATATCTGTATATTTTCGTCATTTCCCTTGTTTTTATAGATGTCCAGATTATAAAACAATCGTACTAACTGCTCCCCTGGAAAATGTCTTGACAAAATCGACGGTTTATGGTGTGCAACGTTGTAGATGAGACAAGAAGACAAGTTTGATCCTTTGATGTATATCAAAATAGTCTCGCTTTGGCGTAACAGTAAAAAATGATTGACTTTGAAGTTGGTTGTCGCTCCTTTGTAATCTTCAGAAGACAGGTATCAGCCTTGTGATTGGTCAGGTGTACCTTGTAACATGTGGTACAATAAAAAATCATGTCAAGTTTTGGTTTGCAAGATGTTTTTAATAGGTCAGAATGTTGTGAGCATTTGCTGAGCCACCATTAATATTGTACTTCCTATTAGATTTTTTTCAACTTTTAATGAGAACTGTTTTCCATACATTAAATATCAAAACTTTTCGAATCATTTCCCATTTTCCCCTGGTAAAAATTGAATATATTGCTGAATTAACGGAATTAGCTTTTTGTTTTTTATTTGGAATTATATTTTATATTTTTATTTTTTTTTAAGTTTAGAAAATCGTTCAGTTGTAGTTAAGCTGATATATTTTTTACATTCAATGCTTCATTGGATATCAGTTTATAGCTAGTGACATCAGTGGATGTTTTCCAGGCTCTTGAGGTTGTTGCTTGTATTTACCTAGCATGATTCCCAGGACCTCCTCTCTTTTGGCTCGCTCACCTGACAGAGGTTTCCCATGCTTCTAATGTCCTTTAATGACCTTAGCTGTTCATTGGACATTAAACAAAACAAAACCAATCCCATGCCTCTCACGCTGTGGCTTATAATACAAGCAGAATGTTCCCTATGCCTCCTACATGTATGTTGTGGCTAGTGAAACCCGGTGGAGGTTTCCCATGCCTCATACATTTTAGCTTAAAAAACCCGGTGGAGGTTTCCTATGCCTCTTACATTGTAGCTTAAAACAACTGGTGGAGGTTTCCCATGCCTCATACATTGTGGCTTATAATACAAGCAGAATGTTCCCGATGCCTCTTACACTAGCTTAAAATACCTGATGGGGGTTCCCAGCTCCCGAGGTTGTTGCTAGCACCTCTAATTGTTTGAGACGGTTAATTATACTATAACTAAGTGCAAGATATTCCTACCTTGTCCTCAATATCATTGTGTTACATCTATAAGACCTAGTTCCTGTTGATGATCTGAACGTTATGTAAAACCCTGTCAGGTGTGAGCCAGGTTGTGTATCTGTGTTATCAGTCTGTAGACCACCATTGTGTAATTATGTCAAGTGCTTATTTTATTAAAATTGGTTATGAGAATATTTTATTTTTTTCTGTTTTCTCTGTTGCAAATCTGCATTTCTTGCTTTTAAATTAATTAGGAATTAACATAGACAATTTCTCTTTTTCTTAACTTTCTCAAAAGTGATTCAATCTGTCTATTAACATTTCTTTTTCTGATCACGAACTCCCTTAAACGATGGCATTAGGTCATACAAGAGATGTGCCAGAACCTTGTTCATTGGACCCTGGGTAGAAGACTTTACTTTAAGGTCTTTCCTGAATATACCTACCGACTTATCTAGTTCGTTGTCAAACACCACTTCTGTCCGTCTCCCTGAAGCCCTGCTTTTCTTTGCGCTTCCACAACTATTTGTCACCAGGTGTCTGGGTCTGACCCATTTTCTGTTTCCCTTGCTGTGATGTTGCTGTTCTTTTTGTCAATCACATATCTGTTCTCCGCCAACTTGGTTTGTTGTCTGGTGTAAATTCAATGACAGCAATTTTTTCGCCCACCTGTTGAAAAATGCAAAAGACTTTTGTCAACAAATGCCCAAACATCTAATGAAGTGATTGAATGATATTTACTATATTTACCATAAAACCAGTTATTTCTTGTCAGAGTAGACAGATTCAAACTCTCGGAATAAACGTTTACACATGACATTGTACTGATTATCCGATGATATAACTATTTTGTTTGGAGTGGTTTTTAAGGCAGTTCCATAACTGAGAAACTTTGCTGGAATAATTCTGTATTTAGCAAATGAGAGTTTATTCTCCATACAAAATTGCCAGAGTTTCCTCAATGGAGCCATGGTTGAATTTGTAACAAACTCTGCCCTGCTTCCCACACAACACCACCCACATTCCTTCAAACTGCAAACATTTCAATTTTGGTCTTTCTTAATAAGGAGCTTGTTTTTAAGACTTGCTTCAGCTACAAAAGAGTTTCCCTGGTCTGCTTTTTGATGTACTTACTGGAATCGCCGTGTTTAATTTATCTAAAAAAAAATATTGTACACGTCTCCATTACAAAAAGAACTGGGAAACAGGCATAACCTATCCGAGCCATCTTCTTATAGTATCTATCGGTACACGCACATCAAATTTTAGTTTATCACACAATCGGCCTGTTATCCAGTGAATTCGCCCGTGTAATATTTTTACATATGACACTAGTGTAATATACACTGGAGTGTTTTTCTTTGCCTGAGCCAGTCAGAAATCGATTTTGACGCCATAATATGGACAATGGAGGGACGTCATCAATTGTGAATGGGGCAACAAAATGTCTGTCTCCGTTTGATTAAGTCCTTTACATTTTGGCTTTAAACCTGTCAAAATGTAAGTTTTCCAAGTTATGTGATAAAAAGTATCTTAAATATGTTTTCATTTCATATGAGCTCTAAAGAAACTCGTCTCAAAGTTTTAATTTTTGTTCGCCAAGGCTCACAAAAAGAAAAACTCCTAAGACTCGTTTTATAAAATCTCATATGAAATGAAAACTCATTTAAGATCCTATATATATTTGATATAACATTATTAATGTTAATGTTAGAGTGATTTGTCACAAATATCAGTCGGCTTGTCGGGCATTAATCCATTCACCCTTCAAGTCAAATTTAAACTTTCCCGACTCAAAGACTGGGCAAGTCCAGTTCAAATATGTAGGGGTGAATAAGTTAACTGATTGCCAGCACAGACCAATTGTCAACAACGATGTCTTTAACTAAAGTCTCATGAGGACAAGGTCGCCAAGTTCATGGTCTACTGTATACCTTTGTTCCCACTTCCTTCAGTTGTTCTCGTATATACCAGCCAGTCTCTTTAGAAATAGAGAGCAAACACACCCTTGTCTATCTGAATGATGTCCCTGGTTGTGAAAATGTGATTAATGAATGTTGTTTATCCAGCATTGCTTCTGAAACGAGTTTGCTCCTCACTTTAGTTTGCTGCGAATGGCTTTTGTTATTCTTCGGAAATTTTTTTCAGTCTTCCGTTCCTGGGAAATTTCTCTATTATCATTTTGGTGCAGTCATCTTGTATCGCCTCTTCTGAAATGGTATTTCAGTGAGATAACACTATAAAGACGGCATCAGATCCGCGCTATCACAACGAGGCATGTACACCATCATACCCTGTCTCTGGCACACATGCACGCTTACACAACACACATGGATGCACGTCCTTAAATGCTCTTAGCTGTTAATAGGACGTTGAACAATATAAAACCAAAACCGCCTCTTCTGACAATACATTTTGGAAACATGAAGTAGTGCTGTGGTTGTGTTGATTTCACTCTTGAAGAGTCCTACACTGATGTCGTCAATGCCTCCTTATTCCATTATTTGATAGTTCTGCTCTACTTGGATTTAATATTTATCCAGAGTTTGGAATCTAGGGCCTTTGTCGACTGACTGTATAGTGTTCTGCCCACATTTCGAGTTTCTCTCTGATGTTGGTGTTCCACCATCCTATCCAATACTGGTATGTCTACAAATGAACTTCGTACAGAGCTGTCATGTCTTTCTGTACACTGCTGTATTTGCTGATTTGCGTCGTCTGCTAAATCTTTCACAGATACTTTCTTGTCCGCTCTAGCTTAAACGTTAACTTCTTTATGAGTTTTGTATCGTGTTTGCGACGCACTCTTAATTCTTGAACGAATTCTTCTTCTTAACCAATGATTGGAATTTAACTAAATTTGACTGGAAGCATCCCTAGGTGGTGGGGATTCGAAATTGTACAAATGGTGGGGTTGACCCCCAGGGGGCTGAGGGGCGTGGCCAAAAGGGGGCAATTTGGCTATATTGCTTTAAGTGACTTTTCTGGATCTAAATGATGGATATCAACCATATTGGACTGGAAGCATCCCTATGTGGTGGTGATTCAAAATTGTACAAATGGTGGGGCTGACCCCCCGGGCTAAGGAGTGGGGTCAAAAAAGGTTTATTAATTGAGATCCCCACTGTATAACCATATAAACAATTGCTGAGTATAAAGAGAAGAATGCACATTTGCTTTCAGGATGGCCCTAGGGTCTAACCTCACCCTTGGATACATAGTCCGTGGGCCATAACTTTAAAACGGTTGAGATCCCCACTCCAAAACTATGTATACAAATGCTGGGCATAAAGAGACAAATCCAGTCATGATATTAGACTAGACCCTGGGGTCTGACTAAACCCCTACATACCTAGTTTCTTAGTCACAGTCTTGAAACAGGTGAGATTCCCGACCTATAACCATGTATACAATTGCGGAGTATAAAGAGATGAATGCACATATGCTTCCAGGATGGCCTTGGGGTCTGCCCCACCCTTGGAGACTTAATACCTTGGTCATAACTTAACAACGGTTGAGATCCCCATCCCAAAACTATAAATACAAATGATGGGCAAAAAGAGACGAATGCAGTCATGATATTAGAATTGATCCTGGGGTCTGGCCACAACCATAGGGACCTATTTTCTGATTCACAGCTTGGAAACAGTTGAGATCCCCACCCCATTACCATACATAAAATTGCTGGGCATGAAAAATCTAATACAGATAAGCAACATATTCCCTTGGATCTCATTTGGAGAATATTTTGCCATAATTGCTTAGATATCCAGGTGAGCGATACAGGCCCTCTAGGCCTCTTGTTATCACCTTAGTTTCCAACCGTGGTTTCTTTCTTTCCGTTGTTACTCTTTCCAACATTTGCACTGCGGTCCCAGGCTCATCAGAATGACATGGTGTATCATTACACTAAGTTGTTTATGTTAGAACTTCTTCACTGCAAACCGTTTGGTTTGGTTTTATTTTGTTTAATTTCCTATTAACAGCTAGGGTCATTTAAGGACGTGCCTCCATGTGTGTGTGTAAGCGTGCATGTGTGTATATGTGCCGGAGACAGGGTATGTTGGTGTACTTGCCTCCTTGTGAAAGCGCGGATTTGGTGCCAAATTTATAGTGCCATCTCGCTGAAATACCATTCCGAAGGCACCCAGCACAGCATTCCGCCCGGTCACATTATACTGACAACGGGTGAACCAGTTGTTTCCATTCCTCTAAATGCTAAACGTTAAGCAGGGAATAACAACTAGCATTTTTAAGGACTTTGGTATATCCTGGCCTGGGGGTAGACCCCATTGCCTTGCATAAGTGTTGGTGACGATGGATAACAGTCAGATTCGCGTACTAGGAGTAGAATTGGGCTGATAGTATCGTCCCATCTACTGAGTTCCAAGCTATCAAGCCTTTCATTACCTTCTTGTTCTTGATAATGGCATTCAACACACGAACTATCTTTACGAATATATTTTGTTTTCTCCTTTTGATAAACGATACTTCCGGTTTCAGTTCAGAGACTTTCGCTAATTCCTTTCTCGTCCAGTTGTGTCTTTAACAGCTTGTATCACTTTACTGCTTTAACTGTAATTTATTGTTCCTAAGGTCCAACTGTAACGAAGGGTTGTGGCCCCAACATTTTCAGTGAAGCTATTAGTGGCTGGTGTGCGTTCATGACTCCAAGTTATACGCTTGTAGGAACAGTTAAGTCAGCCTCCGGTAAAGAGGTTGGGCATTTGAGTATTTGATTAAAGCCTAGCTTGACCGTTCCCAACCGTCGTCAGTACACTGTACCCTTATATATTAAATAATAAACGGCGAGTTGAAATTTCCGTGGAGCTTCTGCCATGCTTTTTGTCCGTCGTCCTCCACCACCCGTCCGTTAACAATCTGTATCTGTATAGGTACGTTGAAAGCGCATGGAGGTTTTAGTCCGAGTTGAGACGAGATTTAAAAATCTCCACAGAAGATGGTTCCGGTCTATTATAGTCCTGGGGAAATAATAGTTCCTGAGTGTTTCTGTTTTCGCAACAATACCACATGTTTGACATTTCCAATCCCAGTGCCCTGAGGGGCGGGACCAAACTTGATCAAATTTGCCATTTTTTAGGTCACCTGCGCTTTCCTCAAGTGACCTATTACGATCACTTTCCGTCCGTCGTCGTGCGTCGTCCGTCGTGGGTAAACTTTTTACATGTTCAACTTCTTCTTAAGAACCATTGAATGGATGTTTTTCAAACTTGGTCAGAATCATCCTTGGTAGATGAGGCTACAACATTGTAAAATTATTCCCACCCCAACCCCTGGGGCCAGGGTGGGGCCCCCAAGGGAAAATTTACCAATATTTCAAAAATCTTAGTATATGAAGTCAATGTGATGTAGGGGGTATAGAAAGTAAAGGTGAGGTAGGTGGGTATAGGTGGTATAGGAAATAAGGGTGATGTAGGAGGGTAAGGTTTGTATAGGAAGTAAAGGTGACGTAGGAGGGTATAGATGGTATATGAAGTAAAGATGATGTAGGAGGGTATAGGTGGTATAGGAAATATAGATGACATAGGAGGGTATGAGTGGTATAGGAAGTATAGATGGTATAGGAAGTATAGGTGGTGTAGGAGGGTATAGGTGGTATATGAAGTAGAGGTGAAGTAGGAGGATATAGTTAATAAAGCTGATGTAGG